CGTCGCACCGCGCTCCCGCCACTGCCGCCACTGCTGCCGCCGCCGCCGGTCTTAGTGCCGGCCCGGAAGCGCGCGCTGGGCTGGCTGGGGCTACTGGGAGGTGTAGTCCAACCCGGATGCGGGGTGGGGTGGGGTGTTGGAAACAGCATTGGCAAACCACCCCGCTTCCTGAGCGCATCCGTCACCATTCGACCTAGTTGCTGATGGGAGAGGCCGGCTGGGGAGGATGGGAGCTGTCGCCTGGCTGGGGAGGATGAGAGTTGTCGCCCGCTGCTTGCACAGGGACCCGAGTGGGCTGCGAGTTTTCTGCTCGATGCGGGCTGAGGAATTCTGGGAGCTGAAGTCCACAAATGCGGGCTGGGGAATTCTGGGAGCTGAAGTCCACCCATCTTCAAGTTGACAAGGTTGAGAAACGCTGCCCCAGAGGCTTCGATCACTGTTGGTGTCACTTCTCTGACTTGTTCTGATATTTTATTTATTTATTTTCAAATGTATATGGGAAGATTGGCCTCTCTTTACTTTCTTCTTTGGAGAAGCGGGCAGGAATAATATTAATTATATCAATATTATTATTAATATTCGTAATGAAATGATAACTTTCTTCACAGGTGCATTCATGCCGCCAGTCCATGTTTACTTAAGGCCAGCTTTCTGAATGAGGTGGAAAGGCGACCATTTTTATCTATGGATTCATTAGATTTCAATCTCACCTTTCATCCCCAGGCCCATTAGTGGCCGCGTGCTCCACCCACCACACAACAACCCTGTGAGGTAGGCTGGGCTGAGCGCCATCGGCCCAGATTTACCTCTTTTAGAACCAACCTTGAGGTCTTCAGCCATGAAGATCTCAAAGTAACCCAGGGCATTTCTGTTCAGCTTAGAAAAATTACATTAGACTGAGACACTTAGCAGAGAGTTACTAAGTTTTATTTATCTATATTGTTTCATTGTGTCTGTGTAAGTTTCTCACACATACATTGAAACAGAGCAGAAAACTGAGAGCAGAGGAATAATTGCAGGCCTATCTATGCCTACTCAATAGCACTGGATCTTTCAGCAGGATTTTCTCCAAAGGCCCTGTGCCTCAAATAAAACCAACCCGCCAGGATATGAAGTCAAACGTCTTCCTTTATATGGCATATTTCAAAGTTCTTTGCGCCCAGCAATAATGCACCTAAATACTGTAAATAAAACAGCAGTCTTTAACTTCATTTCCATTCCAAAGTGGAGGAAGCGCAGAATCTTTTAAAGAAGATTAGTTTAAAGAAAGCAAAAATTTAAAAAGCAACCTGTGCCGTGGGTTTTGATAGGTTTCCCTAGAGAATTCAACAAAACCAGAAAGTAGAGATTTGTACAGTCCTAATACTGTGAAGCTCTTAATACCATCTATGGATATATATTTTTTTTTTAAACTATGGGTATGAGTTGCTTTTAAGTATTCAGCAGCCATTTTTCAAGTTCGCTGCTTTAAAACTTGTAGATGAAAATAAAATCGTCCAGATGTTTAATTTGGGGGGCGGTCATACCACACAGTAATGCCAACCCAAGCATAGCTCATGATGGTTCAGTGCAATGTGTGAAATCGATTTATGGAAATCGTAGGTCCTGGTCGGACTAGCGAAATCTGGTTTTCGTTACGGAGATTCAGATCAGCCGCTATCAAAACTTTGCATGTAGATCTGTCGTTTCGATAGCGCCCTCTTGTAGCTAAGCCTTTATGTACAGTATTCTACTTTCAACAAAATCCTGGGGGGGGGGGACCCAAGCTAGGTGGAGCTGCTGAGGATCGGCCCCATCTGGAGGGCCCCATCTGCTCCTTTATCTATATTATATGCTGTAAATCATTTTACACATGTGGGGGTATTGTAAATGACTTATGAGCGTGGCAACTCTTAATTCCAAACTTAACTAAGCTACATTTGCACATGATACTTCTAGGAACAAATTCTCCTACTTCAGAGACATGATGCGAAGACCCTGCTCCCTTGAGAAGTCCATAATGCTGGGGAAGGTGGAAGGAAAGAGAAGAAGAGGACGACCAGCAGCAAGCGGGATGGACTCAGATCCAGCAGTGATGGGGGCACCCTTGGAAGACCTGAAGGATCAGGGTAGGGATGGATCTCCATGGTGAAGATCTGTCCATGTGGTTGCTAGGAGTCTACAATGACTTGATGGCTCATCATCAGAAATCATTCCTAGCGATGTAACCTTAGAAGCCAGGCTTGGCTCTGGTGACGTAGCTGTGGCAAGAGCAAAGAGCGGGCCCACAGGGATCGGGAGGACTTTGTAACAGCAGGAAAGAGATGTAGAAATCTCTAAAACGTTGCTGTCCTCTAGTGGCAGGTCCAGCAAATGGTGTTTTCGTTTACAGGATGGATTAACCCTTTTGGAATCACGTACAGCAGTGTTCCTCAACCTTGGGCCCTTTAAGATAGGTGGACTTCAACTCCCAGAATTCCCCAGCCAGCATGGCTGGCTGGGGGATTCTGGGAGTTGAAGTCCACCTATCTTAAAGGGCCCAAGGTTGAGGAACACTGCTGTACAGTATAGTACCAGAAGTAATGCAATCCAAAACAAACGAAGAGAGATGACAATCTGTTTTTCCAGCTCTTTAATGCCTTTTTCTTCGGAACACGCGATATCCCTTCTTATTCCCAGGAAGAAAGGAAAGAGGACCCTTTTTTAAAAAAGAGAATAACCACCAGGGTGGTGGGCTGGGTTTGAGTTCATGAGCTTAGTCACATAGGCAACAGACTATCTTGAGATGGCCACGCCAATATGCGATGGGATGGGGACTCAATTTATAACGAAGCACACATTTATGATGAAATGTAGCTTCCAAAGTCATTTCTGAATCTATCCAGTGCCAAATTTATGACAGGTGTGGATTTTGAATATTATACTAACTATATTCACCCTTTGGTAGAGAAGATGATTAATTGTAGGCCTTGAAATAAGCAGAAACAGGGATCAAATACACACCCCACATTAAGGCTTGTAGAGTTTGTTTTTGGCTTAGTGTGTTATCTGAATCCAACCACCGTGGTTGGTAAACCATAATTTACATAGCTTGACGTGCTATGCAGAGTCAAGCAGTTCTGCTTTATCAAATATGTTGCAGTTAAATTGTGGTTTAGAATGATTTCCAGTGACAGGGAAAGAGCAGGAAAAAAAATTAAAGTTTCCTATTTAATTCTTTGGGGGTATTAGTTTTAATTTTTCTTTGAGCAGAACTGTTCCTCTAAACAGCAGTACAAAACAACCTTTGCAACAGAAACTCACAGAGATAATAAAGCTTGAAGATTCCTAATATACTTAGCAAGTATGTGCTCAGTACATGGAAAAAGGTGTGGGTTTTGATTTCTGCATCCTTTTTCTGCGCAGGCCACTTCACCAGCTCCTTTGACA